GGTTAGTCAACCGAAAAAAGTGAATTTTCGCGAATTTCAAAATGTCTAAGCGACAAAAAAGTCATCGTAGAGAGACGTGAGTAGGACCAAACGACGCAGAAAAATCAGGCGATTCCAACAATGTATATAACTCAATTTGGCCAAAAATGTCGCTTAGATAATTTTGCCTTTCAAGCGTCGATGTGATTCCTACAAAACGTAAACTTGCTAAGTGTCTCGATTTTTCTGATGAGCAGTGTATGTAACCGCCCAAGTACAACTGGCAACTGAAACTTTGTAAATGAAATAATTATTAATTTCAGTATGTTTTCTCGTTTGTTTCAGATTCATGTCATGCGCTGCTGATTTCATACGCTATGCGGTCACAAATACGTAAGTAGAGTAGTCAACTGTACTGTTTGAGGTTTTTTAATTACGTTTACTTTATTGTGTACATTTCTCAACAAACAATTTGTCAACGCTTTTTAGACTGTGGCATAAAATTGGGAACCAATGTCTTCCTAAAATCTTTTGACAAAATTTAGAGATCACGCTTTCAATTCCGCTCACAAAACTAACAATTTGGGTTACAAGGGCCCCAAGGGCAGGGGCCTAATAAATACCACGTGACACAGAATTAGAAACGCCCCTCCATTTGCCATCCCGTGATTCCCCCGTGGCCCCGTGAGGCCCCCGTGTGGGGGACTAAATACACAATTCAATTTGAGACCCGGAAATAGAAGTTCCACGTTTATAAAATCGCTTTTACGTCCAAATTGAAATATTTTGTAACTCATTATTAAATTTGTTTTTGTTATTTGTTAGGACTGAAATGGTTGAAAATGTACATAATACATACATATTAGGGTAAAACACAACTAATGAAATATTATTATACGGACGAAAATATCTTCGAGCAATGACACAATTACCATCTAATTTTGTATTTACAATAGGTAACTAGTTACATGGTTGGATTTCTTCTCAGAACTCTTAGAAAATTCACTTTCAACCGGCCCTTATTACGTTCCCACTACTTCCCACGAAGACACTAATAAATAATAACCGACCTAACCTCAAACTGTCAATGTGGCGGGCAAATAACTGGTTCCGACTATTACCAAAGTTGCCCGATAATGATTAATCGACGGATAATTTATTGACTGATAGTCCTTACTCCTTTCTCCTTACTGGGCAGATACGAATAGTGGCAGTGGACTCTATTAATATTTTCATGTGTTAGATAGTCGCCGTAGATAAAATGGTTAATTTAGAAAGAAGTGATTGAGTAAGTGGCTAACATTTTGCCTAAAACACGTTATAGACGCAAGACGCAATTTCAGAAATGTTTTGTTAGATTTTAAGATCGCATAAAACGCTGCATATCAAGGAATACGACACCGCTTCGCTCAGTGGTTCTCACAGGCTGCCGTTTGTTTACTGGCTGTTAGAAACTGCGATATTGTTCCGGACGTATGGAATTCTTCTTATTGTTGTTAAGGTATTTATTTTATGATATGAGGTAAATATAATAATTGATCTGTGTTGCTACACAAATTTCAGCAGTGTCAAATAAATACCGATCTCACCAAAGCGTCGGAGACACTAATAAATAATAACCGCACCAACCTCGAGCCCTGTAGCGGACAGACTGCGGACTCAGACAATTACCAAAGTTCCTGGTCGATTAACCGTTACATAATTTATTCAGCAGTATCCATCGTCCAGGGACTCAATTTCTGAAACGGTGATTTCTGAAATCGTGCACGGAAGTACGCAACGCATCAAATTTTCTACTGCTCTGTTAGCGCCTTGGATGTGTTTGAAGGTTTTTGTGCTGTGAGTGAATGGATTTGTAAAGTAAAACTTGAGGTTCAAGCACTATTAGTACGGTTGATTGTTATACTATGATCCTTGAGGTAATTTGCAACTCTGTTAGTTCAGTACAGCATAAGAGTAGGGTTTTTTTATCCGTTTAGGCTCAGAATTAGTTTTAACATTTATTTGTGCGCTGACGTTGCAATTGAGCTACTATAAAGAGATCAGAGTCACTGGTATACGAAGCGAAAGTTCAAAAATCGAGCACCAAGTCGCGAGTAGTTGTCCCTTGGGCCGAATTTGCTTGTCGAAAGCAATTAACCAAGACTACTAGGACGAAATTGTGGTTTATACATGAGTGGTCCCTCCTTGGGCACAGGTGTTGGTCGAGAGCGATCCATTTGAAGATTCGACGTGAACTTGACTAATACATGGAGGAGTTTGTAATAGGTATTGAAGATCAATTGTTAATTGTGTTATAAAGCATAAAGTTGTTAGTGAGCTTTCATGAAAGCTCTTGAAAGCTCTGACAAGCTCACATACATCTATCAAATCATCAAAATTAAAAGCATTTTAAATGCATTGACAATTGTAGCGCTGTCTATTGCTTTACGTACTTCTTGTTTATCTTGTTTACATGCTTTTGGTTGCCTGAAGTAGATCATTATTAAGTTGACTCATCCTGAACTCCATTACATGACAAAATACAGCTATTCTTAACTCGTCAATCCTTTATTTAACCTTTTGAAATCATATTTTTCTTTCATCACCTTGATCGCCTAAAAACACAACAACCTACTAACCTGAACTTTGAACGGAACAAATAATAAATTTAATTATTTTTACGTCTAATCCCAGCTTGTGGGCGCCAAATCTAATTTCCTTTTTATGTTTTTCTTAGCGTAATCTTATTTTAGGGATGTTAAACATTTGCTTTTAGAGTAGCAAGCATACCGGAGGAGATTTTTATGTGCAAAGCAAATACCTAATGAAGCCCCAAAGTGTTTGCAGCCGTGTTTGGGCTTGTTTGAGAATTCGCAGCTGACTGGGCGGGCGGGCGTTTTCTGTGTTGATGTCTAGCTGAATTTCTCTTCGTTTCCGATGTACAACGATTAGAAAACGGTACAGCAACCACTTTCAAAAAACTAACTGATTCTGCACTACAAAGCTTTGCATCGTTCTCATGTTTTTGACTGTTTGAGTAATGCCTTTTGACTGAACTAAAATGAACAGGCTCGCAAATATTCAAAAAATGAGTTGCGATTTAGATTTTCGTTTTCATGTTTCTCCTACTTACTCCCGCCGTTTTTATTTTATGTTCAGCTGAGAGTACATGATAAAACATTTTATAGTTGAAATGGTACTCGCTTTGTTGCAGACTTTTTGAGTTGCATTTTAAATGTTTTATTTCATTTTCCAGGATTTTAGTGGCAAAAAATATGAATCGTAATATTAGATTTTAATTTTTTGTTTATTTTGCTCTCAAGACTGACACATGACCTGATAAGTAAATATAATTTTCGCAAGAAAAATTGTAGCCCCGTCAATATCGACATAAAAATAACTAAACATTGCAAACGCGCATGTAACTACGATTTTTTTATATGTTGTAAGGTCCCTTGAGAGTAGTTAATACCCAAGTTTGCAACACTGAAAACCTTGTGCTGCCTCCACGGTGCTCAATAAACTGCGAAATTTTGGCCCATATTTCAGTTTTTTATAAAAATCTACCATAACGAAGATTTTTTCAAGGACGTTTCATGAAACTTTATTAAAGATAACTAAATTTGCTACAATTTCAGCGAAACTTGAGCACACTATGTCTTTTGGTTGCAAAGATACAGCAAGTCAAAGATGGGCAATTCTTCCGCAGTGCCAAGAAAGCTGTGAAATTACAGAATTTCCAATGTAACAGCTCTTGTTACATTATTTTTTTCAAAAAATCATATTATGTTGTCCGACTTGCACTTAGCCAGTTTTTAGGGTTCCGTACCCAATAGGGTAAAAAACGGGACCCTATTACTAAGACTTCGCTGTTTGTTCGTCCATCCGTCTGTCACCAGGCTGTATCTCATGAATCGTGATAGCTACAGAGTTGAAATTTTCGCAGATGATGCATATCAAAATCCGTTCAGTAGTTTTTTCGCGTGTACCTCATGAACCGTGATAGCAAGAGAGTTGAAATTTTCATAGGTGATGTATTTCTGTTGCCGCTATTACAAAAAATACTAAAAACCAGAATTCAATAAATAGTAAGGAGGGCTCCCATACAAGAAATGTGTTTTTTTGTTGGTTTTTGTAAATAATGTTTCAGAGGCTGTTTCTCATGAACCGTGACAGTTAGATCTTTTAAATTTTCACAGATGATGTATGTTTATTGCCGCTATAACAACAAATACAAAAAAACTGGCCAAGTGCGAGTCGTACTCGCGCACAAAGGATTCCGTACCATCATTTATAAAGATGACAGAAATATCATATCTGTTGCCCGACTCGCACTTGACTAGTTTTTGGTATTTGTTGTAATAGTGGTAATAGACATACATCATCTGTGAAAATTTCAACCATCTAACTATCACGGTTCACGAGAAACAGCCTTCGAAACATTATCCACAAAAACGAGCAAAAAAATCACGTTTCTTGTATGGGAGCCCCCCTTAATATTTATTGTATTCTGGTTTTTAGTATTTGTTGTTATAGCTCAGCAATAGACATACATCACCTGTAAAAATTTCAACTCTCTAGCTATCACGGTTCATGAGATACACGCGCAAAAACGTCTGAACAAAGTTTGATTTGGCGTTGACATTGGCAGCACAGGGTTTTCAGTGTTGCAAACTTGGGTGTTAACTACTCTCAAGAGACCTAACAATATATAACAAAATCGTAGTTACATGCGCGTTTGCAATGTTTGATGTCGATATTGACCAGGCTATTGTGTCGGTACATAATTTTAATGTTGTCATATCAATACAAATTATATGAAACATTCATGAGGTAGGATGAACAAATGTGACGTGCGTGGCGAGGCACAATTCCGTGTATAAAGCGTGGGTAGAGAAGACATGTGTATAAACGAGGGCTTTTGTTGAAACACAAATATTGAAATTTTGTGATAATGCACGAATGATTGATGTTCATTTCGTAGTACGGTCGCTCACAAGAGATTCTGTAACAATTTTTGGAAAACTCGCAAATTTTTCCACCGCAGGCAGGATTTGAACCTGCTTGCTACCTTCGGCATCTGTACTGCCGACGCCACTACCAACTGGGCTACTACGGTTCTAATCTAGCCTGCGAATTAAGCGAGTATATCTTGTCCACTAACGTGTGGATGAGCTCCATCTACCGGGATAGTTTTTGCAACTAATTCTCAGCGACTAATTCATTCTTTGCAGATCGAATATTGAACACCCGCGATAAATTGAATACCAAATTTTAAAACACTTCTTGTGTTAGGTACACAATTTTTGGAAAACTTGCAAAATTTTGTATACCTAACACGAGAAATGTTTTAAAATTTTGTATTCTGTTTTTTCTTTTTACATTTGCTGTTAGCGTCACACATGTTAGACAGTACAACATAAAAATATACTCGCTCTATCTCAATTCGTGCGGGACACTGAGGTGTCTAACGACCCGATGAACCCTAGTTTTACAACCGTCTACAGTCACAGGTAACTCGCACACATGGTTATGAATGTGTCGTCTGAACTGTCTTGTATGGCTTTAATATAAAATGGAAAAATAATGTATGTGTAATGGCAGCCGTCTACTAAAACTACTTAATAATTACATCCCTAAAGGTGTTTTTTTGTGAGTAATCATTGTATTCACAATATAATATTATAATGCAACTGCTACACCACCTATTGTAAATATAGTAATTTATTTTAAGCAGTAATTCATGTTTGGCTGTATTTACTTTTCCACCAAAAATATATTTGGCTCCCGTACTATCAGGAAAACGGCTGCCTCATAATTTCATTTCATCACCCTTAAATAACGTATTTTATACGTCTCATTGATCATTATTTTCAATATTTATCATTTGAAAGGTTCCATATTGTTTTCAATATTTGTTTGAAACCACCGCATGGGCACCTAAGTGATGAAACAAAAATGTATTTAATGGCCGTTAATCTAAAATCTAATAGTTTGGACAGCGACGTTTAACACTGAGACTACAGTTTTTTGGGTATTTCATCGACTCTATACTACAGATGGTCAAAAAAGATGAAACAAGAAAAAATGGAGATCCTGCGGAATATTACAATAATATGGTAAAAGCTTGCAAAGGCAGGTAAAGGGGTGTAGTAAAATAGCGCATAAAATTGCAAAATGTATGAGAGCACGTTCCAATACTGCACTAGCGACGAGCGACACCTGCTCAGCTGCTTTATGCATTATTAACCTCACACATTTCAAGTTCTTTTACCAAAAATAAACATAAACTGAGCACTCTATATCCCTTGTGGGGTAGGCTGACCGCTGACGGCGTAAAAATACGGTCGCTATCGCCAGGTCTGACATATATTTAGAGGCCTTTTCAGAAAAATCGTGTAAAATTATAAAAGGGATGTCAGCTTGTCACATAATATTGTTTTACACATGAAGCCTTAAAATTCCTAAAATATAAAGGGCATTGCATAAAAACTTAACAGAAATATCGATTGTCTGTGTTTTCACTTTGTATTTAAGAAAAGTAGTGGTATTGAGTCTGTCTGCATCTTAGGCATTTGTAGAATTTTATTCCTCGTGACCTAGGTTTATTCACTCTATATAAAGACCATTCTTGTCGTATGCGACAGCGAATACAAGACAATCTATAAATGTTTTTCTACTTCTTTTTATCATTGTAAGAGGAAAGTTTTTTTTCTAAAATTATCTCAAGCACCGGATATATACAGCCTTCAAAGTGACTCTCATCCTAACACAATCTAAGTGAAGAGTGCTACAAGAGTGCTACAAGTATACAAGGCATGTATGAAGCACATTGTGCCAAAGAATCTTCAAGCTTATAGGACGCTTCAAGCGATGGATATTGATGCCTTTGTTAAAGGGTAATAAAGCAAAGACTTGTGAAATTTTAATAAAATCGCTGGCGTTAGATGTAGGTACATAGCTTCCTTTAGAAGGTTTTTAGTCGCCTTAGCGTGGTAAAGATGCAATTGCATACAGTTCGGACAATATTGCGAATTGTGACAACTACCATATGAATGACAACCTATGACAACAAAAATTTAACGCAACGTGTGCCTTGATGTTCGATTTTTGAACCGGATTTTTTAACTCCTTGGCCTCATAACCGGTTAAGGAAAATTACCGGAAAACTATTCGATGGGTTGGTCAAATTTATTCGCATAGTGTTCTACTACATAAATAATCTGACTTCCTCATAAATAAATAAGGTTCCTCAAATTCATGTTGTTCAAAGTTTGAGCTTTAGAATGTAACTTTCTTAAAGTGAATCTTGTAATTCCTACTGAGAAATAAATGCTTTTGATTTTGATTTTGATTTTGAGCAGAGTTATTCGTTATTTTTATCCAGGAGACATAAGTTCCATAATTCACCGATTGTTAAGTACATTTGCATGTCCAACCCTGTTGTGCTGCCTAAATTTTACCCCCTCGTGTGCAGTACAAATTTAACAAACAGCCCAAAACGGCAGCCTTAATTAGTACTTTATTAAGAACACTATTGTACGAATGCTTGGAAAATTCGCTCGCATACGAAATTGTATTATTTAATTATTCCAAACGTGGACGCGGCACATCCTTAGTCTCACGGGGTCGGCCTTGTGAATTTGTGTTTTATTACAAGAGGAATAAAATTAAATTTGGCTTTCCCTCGTAACTGAGTTTAACTGAGTAAGAGATACGGGTATTTGATGGTACGGCTGCTTGCTAGTTTTAGCAATTAGTCTAATCAAATTGTAAATAAGTAATTTATTCCATGGGTACTTATCATTGTAGAGACGAGTAAGCATTTGGATAAAAAATTATTATGGGTATATGCCTCAAAGCGTCAATAACTTAATCGCCCTGTTTTGGGTCTGCTAAATCTGAAAAGTCAAAAATCGCAGACACAGGATATCCTGAAGACTAGGATAACCTAAGATCCTAGATTGGCCTACTTGTTTGATGATCAAACGAACTTACCTGAAGTGAAGTTCGATCCCAATTATATGAGCAGCTTCATTCGACGCGATTTACTGACACCCTCCCAAACTCACTATATAATTTTATATCCCAAACCCTCACGTAAAGCCCCAAAAATATTGAAATAGTTTTCTCTAAACTAATGACTTGAGAATGACGACAGCGCCCCGCGCGTGGGGTGGGGGAGTGGGGAACGCTGAGTGGGAGTGTAGGGATTGCGGACCGGGAGTTTGACAGCTATCGCCGGTGTTGCCGTTTTAAAAAGTCAAAAAAGATAAAAAGCACACAAAATCTTTTTTGATTTATTTTTATTCTTTAAAAATTCGTGCAAGGCTAATGCGTGGAGGCGAACCTACACCATGTAAACAGTAAATCGCGTCGAATGAAGCTGCTCATATAATTGGGATCGAACTTCACTTCAGGTAAGTTCGTTTGATCATCAATTATATTTCGCAGCTTCATTCTTTGCGATTTACTGTTTACATGGTGTAGATGTTCAGAGACAACAAAAATATGAAATAGTTAAGTGTTTGTTTTTTGAATATGTAACACAATATAATGACAAAAAAAAACAAAACAAATTAATTTGTAAATAAGGTAAGTTTACAAATACCGACACTAGTATTAACTTGCGAACATGTAAAATGAAATCAATCTATACCTTTACAGATTTTACCCGAAAAGTATGAAAATTGCAATTATTCAAAAAACTGAAGAGTATTTACTCCAACTAGCCGTCTTTCTAACAACATCTATGAAACACCAAGTCTGCTAAACGATGAAGCATGTCTAGTACTATTAGCACAGAATATTGAGGTATCTATGCAACTGGCAAGAAGAGTACCTATCTTTTACCTAACGCGGGAAGTGTTTAAAAATTTATGACTACGGCCTTTGGAGGGTAGTTTAGTTTAGCATAAGATTTTTAATGACTTATAAACAAATAAACGTTATCTCATTGACGGGTTGAATTTGTTTTATTGGTGTACCTACTCCAATAGGTAAACATTTTGCTTATTTGCTGGGCAAATGGACATTGAGTGTGAAATGGTTGTCTAACAACAGGCTAATAAGAATTAGGTAGTTTATGTATTATTTCTTGAGATGTTTTTCTTTGTTTTTTAAAAAGTCTGATCTGTATATTTGGAAAAAGTTTCCAGACTGGGACTTTCATTTGGCCACTGTAGTGCCAGATAATTTTTATTCACTGATTTTATAATATTCTGGTTAGTAGATCTCAGTCTGTAAACCCCTTTTATGAAGCGATGCGATGACGATATTAACGATAAATTAGATTGATAGGAATAAAGTGCCACATCAATTAGCTTCTTTGTCTATAACCTGTTTATATTTTTTGTTTTAGGTATTAAGGGATTAGTATAATAAAATTATGTATATTGTAACTAATTAATACTTTAAAACATCCATGATATTGTTTGTGGGTACTATCAGCAAATTATGCCATCATAATATGAACGGATCTTGAATATAACATCAAGATAGCATGTTTGAATAAAGGCCGAAAGACATTAATTGTTTTGAAATAGCTAGTTTTTGGCAAATTGTGAAACAGAATTGTGTGGTTCATTACAACAAGTATCCCTTCAGGCATTTCTTAAATAGTTTAGTGCAAAAATTTTGTAATGGGAGAAAACGGTAGAAAAGCGTATAATAATATAATGTTTTCATGAAAAAGTAAAAGCATTTACTTTCCAAATGTCAGGGTTATTTCCTTTGCAACACGATTTTGTGTTCAACAAAACGTGTTGCGCCGACCCCAAGTAATTGGCATAAGGGGAGGAAGATGATGATGTCAGGGTTATTTTTCCGTGACACACATTGATCACATTTTGCATTAAATCAACTAGAAAATAGGTTAATGTCTGAGAATCCAAGACAGACTATAGTTTAGACAAAAAAGGTATCTGCTAAACATCTTTTCAGTGTCTTTAAAAGATTTACGTGATAATATGTGCTGAATTACTTGTGAATGTTGTGTGTAAATACAATTGCCTGCCCTATAATATACATAAATAAATATGTCTGCTTATTATTTAAGATGTAATTTAACGTTCCTTACCCCATTTCCAAATTCGTCCGAAAATTTGATTAGATTATAAT